CTATGACAATCGCAGGTCCATGTTAAAGTATGGGACTTACTATCACCTTAGCGCTATGACAATCGCAGGTCCATGTTAAAGTATGGGGCTTACTATCACCTTAGTACTATGACAATCGCAGGTCCATGTTAAAGTATGGGACTTACTATCACCTTAGCGCTATGACAATCGCAGGTCCATGTTAAAGTATGGGGCTTACTATCACCTGAGCGCTATGACAATCGCAGGTCCATGTTAAAGTATGGGGCTTACTATCACCTTAGCGCTATGACAATCGCAGGTCCATGTTAAAGTATGGGGAATACTATCACCTAAACGCTATGACGATCGCAGGTCCATGAAAAGATATGGGACTTACTATCATCTTAGCACTATGACAATCCCTGGTCCATGTAAAGATATGGGGCTTACTAGCGCCTTAGCGCTATGACAATCGCTGGTCCATGTTAAAGTATGGGCTTACTATCACCTTAGCCCTATGACAATCCCTGGTCCATGTTAAGGTATGGGGCTTGCTATCGCCTTAGCACTATGACAATCGCTGATCCATGTTAATGTATGGGGCTTACTATTACCTTAGCCCTATGACAATCGCAGGTCCATGTTAAAGTATGGTACTTACTATCACCTTAGCGCTATGACAATCGCAGGTCCATGTTAAAGTATGGGGCTTACAATTACCTTAGCCCTATGACAATCGCAGGTCCATGTTAAAGTATGGGACTTACTATCACCTTAGCGCTATGACAATCGCAGGTCCATGTTAAAGTATGGGGCTTACTATCACCTTAGCACTATGACAATCGCAGGTCCATGTTAAAGTATGGGGCTTACTATCACCTTAAGCTATGACAATGCGAGGTCCATGTTAAAGTATGGGGCTTACTATCACCTGAGCGCTATGACAATCGCAGGTCCATGTTAAAGTATGGGACTTACTATCACCTTACCGCTATGACAATCGCAGGTCCATGTTAAAGTATGGGGAATACTATCACCTAAGCGCTATGACGATCGCAGGTCCATGTAAAGATATGGGACTTACTATCATCTTAACGCTATGACAATCCATGGTCCATGTTAAGATATGGGGCTTACTAGCGCCTTAGCGCTATGACAATCGCTGGTCCATGTTAAAGTATGGGCTTACTATCACCTTAGCCCTATGACAATCCCTGGTCCATGTTAAGGTATGGGGCTTGCTATCGCCTTAGCGCTATGACAATTGCTGTTCCATGTTAAGGTATCGGGCTTACTATCACCTTAGCCCTATGACAATCCCTGGTCCATGCTAACGTATGGGGCTTACTATCACCTTAGCCCTATGACAATCCCTGGTCCATGTTTAAGTATGGGGCTTACTATCACCTTAGCGCTATGACAATCGCAGGTCCATGTTAAAGTATTGGGCTTACTATCACCTTAGCGCTATGACAATCCCTGGTCCATGTTAAGGTATGGGGCTTACTATTGCCTTAGCGCTATGACAATCGCTGTTCCATGTTAAGGTATACGGCTTACTATCACCTTAGCCCTATGACAATCCCTGATCCATGTTAAAGTATGGGGCTTACTATCACCTTAGCACTATGACAATCCCTGGTCCATGTTAAAGTATGGGGCTTACTATCGCCTTAGCGCTATGACAATCGCTGGTCCATGTTAAGGTATGGGGCTTACTATCACCTTAGCCCTATGACAAACCCTGGTCCATGTTAAAGTATGGGGCTTACTATCACCATAGCGATATGACAATCGCTGGTCCATGTTAAAGTATGGGCCTTACTATCACCTTAGCGCTATGACAATCGCAGGTCCATGTTAAAGTATTGGGCTTACTATCACCTTAGCACTATGACAATCCCTGGTCCATGTTAAGGTATGGGGCTTACTCTTGCCTTAGCGCTATGACAATCGCTGTTCCATGTTAAGGTATGGGGCTTACTATCACCTTAGCCCTATGACAATACCTGATCCATGTTAAGGTATGGGGCTTACTATCACCTTAGCACTATGACAATCCCTCGTCCATGTTAAGGTGTGGGGCTTACTATCGCCTTAACGCTATGACAATCGCTGGTCCATGTTAAGGTATGGGGCTTACTATCACCTTAGCCCTATGACAAACCCTGGTCCATGTTAAAGTATGGGGCTTACTATCACCTTAGCACTATGACAATCGCAGGTCCATGTTAAAGTATGGGGCTTACTATCACCTTAGCGCTATGACAATCGCAGGTCCATGTTAAAGTATGGGGCTTACTATCACCTGAGCGCTATGACAATCGCAGGTCCATGTTAAAGCATGGGGCTTACTATCACCTTAGCGCTATGACAATCGCAGGTCCATGTTTAAGTATGGGGCTTACTCTCACCTTAGCGCTATGACAATCGCAGGTCCATGTTAAAGTATGGGGCTTACTATCACCATAGCGCTATGACAATCGCTGGTCCATGTTAAAGTATGGGGCTTACTATCACCTTAGCGCTATGACAATCGCTTGTCCATGTTAAAGTATGGGGCTTACTATCACCTTAGCACTATGACAATCGCTGGTCCATGTTAAAGTATGGGGCTTACTATCACCTTAGCGCTATAACAATCGCTGGTCCATGTTAAAGTATGGGGCTTACTATCACCTTAGCGCCATGACAATCGCTGGTCCATGTTAAACTATGGGACTTACTATCACCTTAGCGCTATGACAATCGCTGGTCCATGTTAAAGTATGGGGCTTACTATCACCTTAGTGCTATGACAATCGCAGGTCCATGTTAAAGTATGGGGCTTACTATCACCTTAGCGCTATGACAGGGGCGGTGGGGTAGCCTAGTGGTTAAAGCGTTGGCTCGTCATGCCGAAGGCCCGGGTTCGATTCCCCACATGGGCACAATATGTTAAGCCCATTTCTGGTGTCCCCTCCCGTGATATTGCTGGAATATTGCTAAAAGCGGCGTAAAACTAAACTCAGTCAGTCAGTAGCGCTATGACAATCGCAGGTCCATGTTAAAGTATGGGGCTTACTATCACCTGAGCGCTATGACAATCGCAGGTCCATGTTAAAGTATGGGGCTCACTATCACCTTAGCGCTATGACAATCGCAGGTCCATGTTAAAGTATGGGGCTTACTCTCACCTTAGCTCTATGACAATCGCAGGTCCATGTTAAAGTATGGGGCTTACTATCACCATAGCGCTATGACAATCGCTGGTCCATGTTAAAGTATGGGTCTTACTATCACCTTAGCGCTATGACAATCGCTGGTCCATGTTAAAGTATGGGGCTTACTATCACCTTAGCACTATGACAATCGCTGGTCCATGTTAAAGTATGGGTCTTACTATCACCTTAGCGCTATAACAATCGTTGGTCCATGTTAAAGTATGGGGCTTACTATCACCTTAGCGCCATGACAATCGCTGGTCCATGTTAAAGTATGGGACTTACTATCACCTTAGCTCTATGACAATCGCTGGTCCATGTTAAAGTATGGGGCTTACTATCACCTTAGTGCTATGACAATCGCAGGTCCATGTTAAAGTATGGGGCTTACTATCACCTTAGCGCTATGACAGGGGCGGTGGGGTAGCCTAGTGGTTAAAGCGTTGGCTCATCATGCCGAAGGCCCGGGTTCGATTCCCCACATGGGCACAATATGTTAAGCCCATTTCTGGTGTCCCCCACCGTGATATTGCTGGAATATTGCTAAAAGCGGCGTAAAACTAAACTCAGTCAGTCAGTAGCGCTATGACAATCGCAGGTCCATGTTAAAGTATGGGGCTTACTATCACCTTAGCCCTATGACAATCGCAGGTCCATGATAAAGTATGGGGCTTACTATCACCTTAGCGTTATGACAATCGCAGGTCCATGATAAGGTATGGGGCTTACTATCACCTTAGCGTTATGACAATCGCAGGTCCATGATAAGGTATGGGGCTTACTATCACCTTAGCGTTATGACAATCGCAGGTCCATGATAAGGTATGGGGCTTACTATCACCTTAGCGCTATGACAATCGCAGGTCCATGTTAAGGTATGGGGCTTACCATCACCTTAGCGCTCAGCTTGTTTTGTACAACAACACCCTGTTTCTCTAATCTTGCAAATCGGCAAATGAGAAAAAATATATTCTTGAAGTTGACTATATGAAGTCTTTGTCACAAAATGATTATAACACCACCAACATATTCCATTATAAGATCATTATACCTGTGTTAAAACTAAATATATCCCTGTGTATTTGCCAAGGAGTGTATGTATTGAAAGCTGTCAAGGGGCAGGTGGAACAGATTACGACCATTCTCTGTTAGAATTTAGATTACATAAAGTCCAATATTCTAAGCATCATATTCTCTGCTCCAGTGGCGGGTAGATCCGGATGTTAACCAGCTGTATATATTGTATGGAATATGTTATGTTTAGTAGTAGACCTGTACATAACCAGTAGTATTATAAACCAACTGAATGTATTGTATGGAATATGTTATGTTTAGTAGTAGACCTGTACATAACCAGTAGTATTATAAACCAACTGAATGTATTGTATGGAATATGTCATGTTTAGTAGTAGACCTGTACATAACCAGTAGTATTATAAACCAACTGAATGTATTGTATGGAATATGTTATGTTTAGTAGTAGACCTGTACATAACCAGTAGTAGTATATACCAACTGTATATATTGTATGTAGATCTGATATTAAACCATCAACTCAATGTAATGCATAGAGCTAGTACTTCAACATGACAGAATATAAAGATCGAGTACAAAAAAACCCTGGATATAATATATAGGTCTTGTGCAGGTATTTGTACCACAAAAATCTAGCATCCAAGTATATCTACATTGGCAGTGAGAATATACACACATGTTTTAATGTTACTAACTCCAATTCTAAACTGCAGATATTTCATATATAATACTAAACACAAACTGAATATAATGTATGGAACTACTGTGTGTCGTTTCTGAAACCTAACTGTTTTTCTTCAGCCTCGAGTGACGTGGAGGAGAGGGGAACCGCCGCCACAGTGAGAGAAGCTGATGGTAGAGTTCCACATCAAGGAGGTGAGAGCAGTAGGCAGGACTGTGGTGCTGGAATGTCACGCCAGTGTCAACACTTGTATCCCAGATCAGGATAAGTTATTGTTCCACGTCAAGGAGGTGAGAGCAGTAGGCAGGACTGTGGTGCTGGAATGTCACGCCAGTGTCAACACTTGTATCACAGATCAGGATAAGTTATTGTTCCACGTCAAGGAGGTGAGAGCAGTAGGCAGGACTGTGGTGCTGGAATGTCACGCCAGTGTCAACACTTGTATCATAGATCAGGATAAGTTATTGTTCCACGTCAAGGAGGTGAGAGCAGTAGGCAGGACTGTGGTACTGGAATGTCACGCCAGTGTCAACACTTGTATCCCAGATCAGGATAAGTTATTGTTCCACGTCAAGGAGGTGAGAGCAGTAGGCAGGACTGTGGTGCTGGAATGTCACGCCAGTGTCAACACTTGTATCCCAGATCAGGATAAGTTATTGTTCCACGTCAAGGAGGTGAGAGCAGTAGGCAGGACTGTGGTGCTGGAATGTCACGCCAGTGTCAACACTTGTATCACAGATCAGGATAAGTTATTGTTCCACGTCAAGGAGGTGAGAGCAGTAGGCAGGACTGTGGTACTGGAATGTCACGCCAGTGTCAACACTTGTATCACAGATCAGGATAAGTTATTGTTCCACGTCAAGGAGGTGAGAGCAGTAGGCAGGACTGTGGTACTGGAATGTCACGCCAGTGTCAACACTTGTATCACAGATCAGGATAAGTTATTGTTCCACGTCAAGGAGGTGAGAGCAGTAGGCAGGACTGTGGTGCTGGAATGTCACGCCAGTGTCAACACTTGTATCATAGATCAGGATAAGTTATTGTTCCACGTCAAGGAGGTGAGAGCAGTAGGCAGGACTGTGGTGCTGGAATGTCACGCCAGTGTCAACACTTGTATCCCAGATCAGGATAAGTTATTGTTCCACGTCAAGGAGGTGAGAGCAGTAGGCAGGACTGTGGTGCTGGAATGTCACGCCAGTGTCAACACTTGTATCATAGATCAGGATAAGTTATTGTTCCACGTCAAGGAGGTGAGAGCAGTAGGCAGGACTGTGGTGCTGGAATGTCACGCCAGTGTCAACACTTGTATCATAGATCAGGATAAGTTATTGTTCCACGTCAAGGAGGTGAGAGCAGCAGGTAGGACTGTGGTACTGGAATGTCACGCCAGTGTCAACACTTGTATCCCAGATCAGGATAAGTTATTGTTCCACGTCAAGGAGGTGAGAGCAGTAGGTAGGACTGTGGTACTGGAATGTCACGCCAGTGTCGACACTTGTATCACAGATCAGGATACGTTATTGTTCCACGTCAAGGAGGTGACATGGTACAAGTACTTGTTGCATAGATACACAATGACATCAAGTGTACAATGTAGAAGTATTTCTTGTATTGTATTGATAGACAGTGACATCACGTGTACAATGTACAAGTAATGTGTGCATTGGATCGATAGACAGTGACATCACGTGTACAAAGTACAAGTATTTCCTGTATTGTATTGATAGACAAGGACAACATCTGTAGAATGTACAAGTACTTGCTGGATAGATAGACAATGATATCACGTGTACAATGTATAAGCATTTCCTGTATTGTATTGATATACAGTGATATCACATGTATAATGTACAAGTTCTTGCTGAACAGACAGTGACATCACGTGTACATTGTACAATCACTAGCTGTATAGATAGACAATGACATCACGTGTACAATGTACAAGTATTTGTTGTATTGTTTTAATAGACAATGACATCACGTGTACAATGTACAAGTCTTTCCTGTATTGTATTGATAGTTTGTGACATCGCGTGTACAGAGTACAAGTTTCTGTTACAGTGACACAGAACGACTCCAACCCCCTCCTTGATGCCTGCCGGAAGGGGAACATGGCCATGGTGAAGCGTGTCCTGGATCTGGGACAGGTGGACGTCAACTGTAAAGGAGAGTGGAACCGGACACCTGTGATGGAGGCAGCACTTGGGGGGATACAAAGACGTGGTGGAGCTCTTGCTGAATAGAAGAGCGGATGTGTCACTGGTGGACGATGACGATAACAACACCCTCCTATTGGCCTGTGTGAAAGGAGACGTGGGGGCGGTGGAGTTGATACTGTCCCAGGGCGTGGTGGACGTCAACTGTAAAGGAGGATGGAGAAGCTGGACACCGGTGATGGATGCAGCATGGGAGGGACACAGAGATGTGGTGGAGCTGCTACTGAGTAAAGAAGCTGATGTGTCACTGGTGGACAGGGACGGTAACAACACCCTACATTGGGCCTGTTATAGCGGAGACGTGGGGACGGTGAAGTTGGTACTGTCCCGGGGCTTGGTGGACATCAGCGCCAGGAACAACTGCGGGAAGACAGCGGCCGACGTGGCGAGAGACGAGGGACATCATCAAGTGGCGGATCTCGTGTCACGTGCTGCTCGGTGAAGTGGTTCTGGTTTTGGTACAGACAGTAATGGTGAAGGTGCTGTTACTGACACTGACGCGGTATGTGCCGTTCACGTCGTCGTGTTTACATTGTGGGACCAAGGTTAGAATTATTGTTGTGTTTGAGGAGAAATAAAACTTGTTGAAAACATTTTCAGACATTTTGTCATTTGTTTCATGTGGATGTTTTCATGATAAGGTAAGGAGATTGTTGACTGAGTGCAATATTTGTATACAACATGAAAGTTGACATAGTGGCGGACATTTATATGTGATTTATGTGACAAACTGAGTCACAGATATGTGACAAACAGACAACAAACTGTTTGTTTACATCTCGATCCACTCTGAGCCAGAGGCCATGTTCGCCCAGCTGACGGGGCGCCAAATGTACACAATGCCTATGACGTCATGGCTGTTACCCAGCTGACAGACAGGGATACGGGAGTTGGGTTTCAGTTTGTTACAATGAACGTATTTCTCCCGAGATTGTTTTCATGATTTGTGACATCAGGTAATTAGACAATAACTAACGAGTGACGGGGAATGACAGACCATCTTTCCCGAGTTATATCAATTACGCAATTAAGCCTTGGCAAAGGACAAGATAAAGTACACCCATCTATATATTTACAATCTGGGCCTTCTTTCACAAATTTGTTTTCATTATTTGTAAACATTACAGTAAATGTGAATAAGTTAGACAAAGAACCCATCTATATATTTACAAGCTGGTTGGTACTCGTGCCAGTGTGTGGTCAAGCGCAGCTTCAACGTAGAAGACTTGCACATGTGAGCAGTTATACTGACATCGGAGTCGGAGAGGTCGCACGTCGGGTTTTCCTTTCATACCTAAATGAACCGGGGGAAAACAAAGTCAATCCTTAATTAAATTTATGTAGCTAACTAATTAATTCCTAATCCACATGCAATCTGCGTTATCAAGCAAATACATCTCATACCAATATTTAACACACCAGAGAAAATATATAGTGTTATACCAACGTATCTTGTTTACGTCAGCTGGCTGTCTACCGCTCAGTGCCGCACTGTGATGACGTCGCGTGTCACAAACTTATACATTGTATACAGAGTTACAACGTTATTATTTCAGCACAGTGTAACCAAATTGTAACCACAGTGTAACATTCAGCTTGAGTCGATTGTTTTTCAAACAGCTTCTTATGTCAACAAATTCTTAATGTATATCTGCCTCGCCATCCGTGAAAGTGTCGATATTCTAAGTTCGCTACTTTTCTACATAAATCGTTATACCCAAGCCTTCGAATGTGGCAAGTAAGCACCCTTGTTTGAATTCTCGATGTCAAACAATTAATACCATTGTGTCATAGAGCAGACCATTTGAATAACTTTCTTTAAAACTATTAAATATTTAAACGACATCATTGTTTCAGCATGTACAAAGTACACCGAAATTCTATCCCCTTTGTCTATTTAATGTATTCAGCAAACATTTGGTGTATCCCCTCTTATCATAAATCCTCCTCCGGGCAGGACCCTTACCCCCAGGATGCCACAGGGACATAAAAGTCCTTCCCCTTCAACCCTCAATTTCAAGGATAAAAATCAAAATATCCCACGCACACAAATACACTTCACAGTTTCGAATTCTGCGGAAAATTTCCTGTTTCTTGATACCATCCACTACTATTTTAGACTAAGCTCAAGTGCTGTAAATGACCTTTCAAAATAGGCTCCATCGAAAATGTCGCCATTTGTGACACAATACGAAATCGCGATTCACAGCAATATTTGCTGTATGTTTTGAAATGTGAAAATGGGATAAATACTGGGAGTATTGAATTTAAAAAATAACATATTCATGATCACTGATATCAGTTTTACATGCAATCGCTAATTATAATTCTGAAACGTTGCCGACGAATCTAGAATCGGTTGGGATGTTTTCGAAAAAGCACTTACACGAACGCCGTAGAGCGCTTTCCGCCATATTGGACAATGTTTACAAAATCACGTTTCGCGAAGGCCGGTATTGAGACGCCTATTACATCACGTATATTTCATATTCAGCTTGGAAAAATGCATCACTGAATTCCCCATACATTTTAGAATCAAATTGCAACTGGACTGTGTCACCAATACCAACTGTCTAGATAAAATGAGACGAAACATATTGGGTGTGAAAACGAACGCTGTGCTTGAAAGACTGCGCTTCTCTGAAATGTAAACAGACAAATTCCGATTTTACACTGCGTAGCATTTTCTGAAATCTTTCAACATTCATCCGTCTATTGATTGCTTGCAATGGCTCAATACCTTTGGAATATGCATGGAAAGAGTATCGTAGCAAGAAATAGGATATTATAAATAGATACAGTGCAATGATTTGATAATTCATAAGAAATTGTCAAAGTTTCCGTGCAGCGTGACGCCATGACTGACGCAAAATCACGCATAATGACAACGGTAATTATCTGCATTTCTGGCTTTTTCTCTTACTTATAGTGAAAACGATAAAAACATATAACAATACACAGATAGTCAGAATCATTCTGATTACTCACATCTCATATTTATGTACAAACGATCCCTGAATCAGTGGAAGGGTCCTCGCAAAATCCTGTGTACCCTTGTCAGCAAAGCCGACATTCTGTAAGAAATCGGTCAGCGGTAGTGATGTCATACGTCAACATTGTTTTACATATTAGGCAATTTCTTTGAGGTGAAGGTCGGTTGAACAAGAGTCAACACAATCGCCCAATCCTTCCGATTACACTGTCAGTATTATAGTGATTTTGCGTATAGTTCAGATACTTTTTCACGAAACTGACTTCAGTATCTACATTTAGCCTTGTTCAATATCATATCATACGTGCATATAGGGTTTACGGTGTTTTATTCTTTGAAAGTTTTTGATTGTTTGAATCATATTTACATAAGAAATTGACATATTTAGTGCAATACACCATATTCTAAACCTTTACACAAGTGTTAGAAGATCAAACGTAGCCATAACTGCAACTACTTTAGTTCCTATGATGTACAATATTCAATTTATTTGGACTAATAATGCAATTTCATATGAACAGGTTAATGAACGGTGATTTAATTCAACCTTATATGTAAAACTGATAATGATAATGAAAATGATTTTATATATGGTATGAAATGTATATGCACACATATTTAAAGGAATTGTCTTGTTCATTGCATAATTTTGTGTCGTTTTATAGACAAAAGAATGATGCATATTGATCGGCCAGGTGTGCGTTTGTTGGAAACGTTTTATGATTTTCTATCATTGTTTTCGATAATATAATCAATTCATATTCGATTAAACAATATTGTGATGACAGGATATCAAACTCTAACTACATTTATAGGAAAATTGTTGAAAAATATATATACCATCTCATGTGTTAATTCGGACAAATCTTACATCCATATTCTAATATATAGTTCAATATATAAAAAGCTATCTTTTTGCATCTTCCATCGCATACGTATGAAGAGAAATAGCTACATACTCATAAACAAACAAAATTCTTATCCCAAACAAAATATTCGGGTGTTGTGAAATATTATTTTTATTTACGTTAAATTGATGCCAAACAGGTGCGCGTGTTGTTCACAATAAGATACGCTGTCAAACAGTCTAATTGTTGATATATTCAGGACACTATTTAAATGGAAAAATCAGTCATTTTATGTTTTGTCTAAAGAGTGTTAAATTCTGACGTAGAAGCAAAGACCTTTTATACAATTAATGGAAATAAGGTGAGATATATACTTATCAGCATACGAATGTCGTGTTTTTCCGACTTCGCAAAATGCATAAAACAAGCAATGACGTCAACTAAAATGTTGTATTATTTTCAGCAATTTCATTACATTTGAAAATATGGCTAGTATTCTGGTAATAACGATGCAAAATTAGTCAAATTACATCTACACAAACAGGAGAATATGGGAATCTAAGAACTAACATATATCGGATAGGGCCATCCAAATCGCTATTACGTGCTTTCACATGTAATACGTTGTCATTTTTCTTGTAAATTGTGAAACTACCAAACTGCATCCGCTCACATTGGGGAACTTTGAATTGGAATAGTTTGGTTCACCATGAACATAACATAACCAACATGAACATATAGCGTCCGTATCCACAACAAATCCTCTCCAAGTGATTTGAGTTTTATTGACCTAGTGTTAGGCATAACGGAGTTATGCCCCCTTATCATTTTACGTGTATGACCTCTCTGTCGTCGTTTGACGTCATAGTGGAAAATCCATTTTTGACATTTATTGCGAGTGTTTTTTAATGCTGAGCGTATAACGTTATGCACAAGCACATAAACCCAATTCATATACACTCATGTCGTTCAGATATCAGGCTGTATTTTCTTCGCTCACACTTTCCGTAAAGATGCCACATTAAAAAATTCGTAGCACAGTGCTTTTATCGGTGCGCCATAAAAAGCGGAAAAATTTACTGTTTTTTTAACGCATAACAAATTTTGGACAACATTTAGCAGTGTGTATTTCTCAAACCGTCGAGGTAGTTGCACTTATATTTATACCAACGGATAGGAAATTTAATATTCTACATTCCTGTGTAATTTTATAGCCGTACGTAGATCCAGGACCACGCGAGCGCAATTCTCGCACAACGTTCACTTTTCAAACCGTATGAAAATGTGCGCCTGAAAAAAAACTCGGCATCAAGGGGGTTAATTCTCAATGCTATGAGTAAATGTCAATAGACCGATCCAGCCCCGGGCCCCGTTTCACATACAAAGCTCTCGTGCCTCCTATACTGTAACATATGACTGACTGGCTGACTGACTGAGTTTGGTTTTACGCCGCTTTTAGCAATATTCCAGCAACATCACGGCGGTGGACACCAGAAATGGGCTTCACACGTTGTACCCATGAGGAGATTCGAACCCGGGTCTTCAGCGTGACGAGCCAACGCTTTAACCATTAGGCTACCCCACCGCCCCCTGTAACATATGAGGTACTAATGCTACGAGAAAAGTTACGAGATCTTAGGCTTACGAGAGCGTTGTGAAACGGGACCTAGGCCGATAAGCCCCGCCCACTTCGTTTTTGACGTTAGGGGCGACAACCATTGACTAATCACAATGCCGTAACCGCCGGCGAAAC